CAGAAATACTGATCTTACACCGACAACATGCTTTATACTACTCAGACACTCCCCCATTACGTCTACCTGCATATCTGCGCATGTGCAACCGTACATCACCTTACTTAATCTCCTGATTGGTCTTTCTGTCCGCTCTGCCTCTTCGTTCAGCTGATATGCTAATTTTTCGACTTCGTCCTTAATTTTTGCACACCAGTGTATAATAAAGATATTTTATACCTTGTTCTATATTTGGTTCCATTTATATATACCTATACATAGATATATATAATTTAAGGATTCCATTTAAGGATTATAGTAGTAGTTAATACTACTACATATAAAACACAAAAGTGCATCAATAATGTATTTTTCAGTATTATTTAACTTCATTCTTAAGAATTTTCTGCAGTCTAGTTTGCGTTATTTTATTCATAAGTCTCAAATAAAAACAATTATTGTTTATATGCCATTAGAAAATTAACCAAAAAGCAGCGACCACAATGCAATTGAGAAACAGTCCTTAGCCGTGAAAAGGTTGAAAGCCATTCGATTATGACTATTATCTCACACACTCAGCTACTTCGCATACATGGAACATAGCATTCGAAATGAAAAACTCAATATTTACTACAAATTCATTCGTGTAACAAATACCTGTCTTTCTACACCTATGGCTTTAAAAAAAGATGTTATTTATCTTACAGTTTATCGTTAAGTAATACATTTTCATTGTACAAAATTGCATTCATTCGAAGAATTCAATTTGTATTTTCCTCTGTATAAAACTGAATGTAGAGAAGTTAGATGTTTAAACGACCCCCACATTTTCTCAAGACCACGAGCAAGATTATCGCCTTCTTTTCAGCCTCCCCGTGAAAAAAGGGGTTCTAAATTTACGACCTGACCGCATATGAGGTGATTTCGTTTTTTTCATTTAAATTTTGCTACTTTTATGATATGCATTCAAGGTAACTTTTATTATGCCAAAATTAATTACAATTTTTTTATTTCTCAGAACATATTTTGTTTTGATTTTTGATTCCTGAAAGCCCCTTTAATTTTTATCTTTATTTTTAACATCACAAAATTATCATATAAATTAATAATAATCTGTTAACTATTCAACATCTATTCACTCTTCTGCAAATTATTTGTAAAATTTCTGTAAGAACTGCAAATGCGCACTTTTAAAAAATATTATCTTCTTTCATTTTTAATGCTGTTTATAAAGCAATCAATATTCTTTAATCTGTTAGGCATTTAAAAAAATATTACTTCAATTGAAAGATTTTCGTGAAATTTCATTTAAAACAAAATGGTATTCTATTATTTTATAAAGAGAGCCAAGAAATGCATTTTGCTTTGATTTAATTGAGTTATTTCTTGAATTTTTCATATGAATATAATAATACATTTTCTTTTTTCATGTCTTCACAAAATGCAGATATGAGCTTCATTCTGATATAGATGCTAGAATTATTAACATAAATAAGATTTATAATTAATTTTACATTTGTCCTTAAATAAGAATAATATTGCTTGTTAGCTTGTAATATATTTTCTCTAAGATCTCATTATTATTCTTTATTTCAATAATGTGCAACTGATTTATTTTGAAAAAAGACTGTAGAGCTACAGGAATGTCGGAAAATTTTTCTTGTTATTAATGTTATTCTTTTTTCTAACATAAAAAAGAGTTTCGTTACGAATGATTTAATATCCTCTATAACCTTATTTCATAGCAATTATAGGTCATTTAAAAAATTTTTAATTAAATAATGTTTTATCGTATTTACATCGTGTATCACTAAATTCAATTTGCATCGCTAAAGATAAAAAGTATTCTTTTTGATGTTTTTAAGCTAAAGTCTTTCGCAATTATTACGAAAATGCGTTTCGCAATATTAGAGAAATAAATAAATCTAGTAATGTTTTGTATTTATGCTGTTAACTGAATGCTTTTATTTCGAAAGCATTTTTCGCTACGTTAGAAAAGCAAACAATTTTCTGATTTGTCAAACATATCGATATAACTTTAACATTAAAATAATTATTGTTTAGCTATAGTCCATCTGTTTCAGGAGCAAAAATATTTGCTACTGAAGAAAAGGCACGTATGTTGATCGCTTTCGAAATCAAAATTATTCAAAAGTTGCATCGATCTAAAGCTGTTTTTCCCCTACTTTTAAAATTCACATTCACATAACAACTAACTTTTAAGATCTCAAAGAAACTTTAAAAAAATCTTCAGTATTAAGAACTGAAATTAATATACGTTGAACATTTATTGAGGTAAACTTTACGCCAAAAGGCATCAGATGGATTTCGTGGAATATAATTATTCTTTAATTACGTACTTTTAAAATTCACATTCACATAACAACTAACTTTTAAGATCTCAAAGAAACTTTAAAAAAATCTTCAGTATTAAGAACTGAAATCAATATACGTTGAACATTTATTGAGGTAAACTTTACGCCAAAAGGCATCAGATGGATTTCGTGCAATGTAATTATTCTTTAATTACCTACTTTTAAAATTCACATTCACATAACAACTAACTTTTAAGATTTAGATCTCAAAGAAACTTTAAAAAAATCTTCAGTATTAAGAACTGAAATTAATATACGTTGAACATTTATTGAGGTAAACTTTACGCCAAAAGGCATCAGATGGATTTCGTCGAATATAATTATTCTTTAATTACGTACTTTTAAAATTCACATTCACATAACAACTAACTTTTAAGATCTCAAAGAATCTTTAAAAAAATCTTCAGTATTAAGAACTGAAATTAATATACGTTGAACATTTATTGAGGTAAACTTTACGCCAAAAGGCATCAGATGGATTTCGTGGAATGTAATTATTCTTTAATTCCTGACAGTAATTTTACATTTCCTGCTCAGTTTCTCTTCCATTTTTTTCCTACATGGTTACTCTTTAAAGCTGGGAAAACGCCAGCGGCGTAAGTATTTGGAAAACAGAGTTCCTGGTGGGACATTAAGTCCATTAATGGTCTTAATTCTTAAAAGTACTACAAAATTGAAACTGAGATAACAAAAAGGTAACTCTAAGTTACAATATAAAATTTTGTTTTTTAGCATTGGCATAGATATGTGACATGTGAAAGCACAGATAACTTCTTTTGATTGAATTCCTATTTACATAATTCTAGTTAAAATCATTACCAATGACCTCCAATTACTTTGAGGATAAAAGGAAGTGCAAAAGAATGGATTCCCGACCCAGTCGTATAATCTCTTGACAGGTCTGTAAAATAACAATCGCTTTTATTCGATAACTCCTTTAGGTGGGATAGAATAAAACTTGAAGCTTTCTGGTATCCATCTTCACATTTTACTCCCATCAGTAATTGAAACATATCAAGATTCCCTTTTACAACATGTTCTTTCTAAAAGTTTCTCCCCCTTTCGGAGAACTTTCGGCTTCCCCGCATGTTTGAATGTTAGCCATGCCGCACTGACACTGTCGAGATTCGAAAGAGCAAAGAATCTCTGAGGAGAAGAAGTAAAGGTTCCCCGGGGCAAATGTGGCTCCGTCAGACCGAAGAGACACATTACGTATATCCCTGAAGCTTACTTTAAAGGGGCAAACCATTCCAAAGCCATCCACCCTCCGTACCTCACTGCGCATGTGCGAAATAACATCAGGAGGCAACAAAGCAACATCAAAGAATGCAGCATGCCGTCGGCCATGTTAGCAATCTTTTACCACGTTGTTCGAAAACGTTCTTTGTTGTTGTAGTCAGAGGTAATTGGTTTTAGCTATGTGAAATTCTTTAAAGACATTTTAAATGTAATGCTGTAAGTGAAATGGTTTTGGCTATTGGGTGAAAACTTTGCTCGTGGTTTTCACAATGGTCATTCCAAGTAATTGTCTAAACGTTTTCATGGTAATTTGTTTTTAAAGTTGTTGTCGGATAACTATAATGTATTTCAGTGTTTTCAATTTATTTAGGGGTGCCTTTAATTGTCTTTAAATATTTTTTTCTGTTTCAGTCAGTTATTGCAAATTTTGCTTTTAAAACTTCACTGTAAAATTTTAACTATGGATCCATAAAAATTTATTACGTTTTGTATGGCATGTGTTTTCCCTCCTTTTTAAGTTTACAGAAGAAAAGAATTAAGAAATTTATTTCATTTAAATTTTGTCTTCGCACGGCTTGCTCTTTAAAATGAAAGTAAAAATTGCACAGGATTTCTATAATTCGCCCCAAAATTCCAACTGACATCCTTTTGCTCATAAAACTCCAGAAATGTATGAAAATAAAACATTTTGGTTTATTTCAAAGTAAAAAATTTACTATCTCCTCGAACTGCGCTGTTTAAATTTCACCCTGCGCTGGTGTTTCACTGCATAGCCGTGGCTCTTCGGTACAGCGGCGCAGAGGCGAAACAGGTTTACATTGCGTCTATGGAAGCTTTCATTCTTCTCCTTCTTAGAGATTCTTTGGAAAGAGGGTCCTTCAGCACGATAACCACTGTACCGGTTGATCGGCAGCGATAATCTTACTGAGATGAATAATGAGATGGTTTCATTTCACAGAGTCTTGTTCTCTAGACATTTCGTTTTCTTTTTATTCTTCACAGACACCCTTCGTTTTCTTTTTATTCTAGGTACGTCAAAGACAAAACTTATGCATCACCCATGCCAAAAACAACACAGCTTAAAAGCGAGTAATTCAGGAAACTTAAGCTGCTTTGCAATCAAGCGTAGTTGTGTTGAAACCAAGCTTTGATTAGATAGAGTTCCTGAAACAAGAAGCTAATATATCCAAATTGAGTTTTGTTATATAAGTAAAAAGATTTTCTTAAGTGTTGTAAAATGTCTGTAAACATTACGTTTTCGTATATTTATTACAATTAGTTTTGTTTTTATTTGTGAAAGAGTTTAGATGTAAATGATCTGAATAAAATTCACATTATTAAGTACTGAGTATTCAAAACTCCTTCACTCTAAAATTGCATTATTTTGAAGTTTATGTGTCCTTCTAGGAAAATGCAAGCTTCAGGGGAGGAAAAAGTAGACAGACCACAATCACAACGTTCATGTGCAAAACTCGTCCTCCGCCTCTTATTTTCCCACGTGGGTCTCTTTCTGTTAGTGGTCCTCTATGCCGGTTTCGGGGCTTTTATCTTCGTTGAGGTGGAATACGATTATGAGACGACTCTCAGGAAAGAGAGGCGCATCAGATCCATAGATGTGAATGATTCGATAGCGTATCTTTCTGCCCTTTTTTATTACTTGAGGGACAGAAACTTCAGTGAATTTAATTCCAGGGTGTATGCAGAGCTCAAGAGTTTTGACAATTTTATTGTGGGAGTAGTAACCAATTTCTCCTATGACGGCACCATGGATGAGGAAAACTGGGACAGGGAATGGACCTTTGGAAGTGGACTTCTGTATGCTGTAACCATTCTAACTACCATTGGTAAGCACAAATTTCTTATAATATATCATTTGCACAACAGTCTTTGTCTCATCACAGAATAAGTAATGTTAGTCACGGTTCAAAGTTCCATGATTTTTAAGAAGTTTCTTAAATTTAATAGCATCGATATAGGGAAGGGGTGAAAACATTAAATATCTGATATCTTTTCAGCAACCGATGCTTGCGTAAGATTTAAATTTCCTTGAATTTTCTTTTCTGTAGGTTATGGTCATGTGACTCCAAAAACGCAGCTTGGAAAGATCATCACCATTTTGTACTCCTTGATAGGCATTCCATTGACGCTGATCTTCCTCGCCAATATTGGTGAACTAATGGCGTCTGTGTTTCGTTACCTGTACAGTAGACTGTGCTGTCGATGGTGCAGAGGTGCCCGTCGTCGCAGCGAATTTTCGAGAGATATGATTGTCAAAATGGGAGGCAGGCTTCCTCCATTATCCAACGACGAAGTCGGAAAAGAGGAATATATGCCAACTGAAAAAGTAAGAATCATCTTTGTCATTGTTTTTCCTCCGCATTTTCTAGTTTTATTGTTACAAATAAACATTCATATCAAAGTGGTTCACATAAACTGACTTTTTTGATTTACTTATTAATCCCTTACCATAGATTACATTAAACATATTATTAAAATTCGCGAATAGAAATTGAAATCTGACTGGAGCAATTTTAAAACCATCCAGCGCCTGAAGCTGAAACGAAACTAAGTACTTTCTGTATAGCAGCTACCCTTTCAGATTCAAATATTAACCATTGCAATGAACTTACAGAACGATAATCACAATGCTAATATATTTCTCACGTGGGCGTACCAGAGCGCCTAGTGGCAACTTTTTACTTCCTTGTACGAAGTAAAAAGGAAGTATTGTAATCGCGAAAAGTTTCAGGCAGCATATTTCAAAGAAAATATCCATTTTGACCGCTATCGAATGCAATTTAACGATGTTTATTCGTGATATCTGTACGTAAGGACAGAATAAAAGATTCGTTTCCTCCAAAAAAACATTATAAAACTGCTTTAAAATTAATTCTGAAGAGAATTTTTCGTGGCGTCTGTACGAACGTACGTACGTATCTACTCAAAAACGAGTAGCCTCAAAACGTTGAAATTTTGTATATAGGACTAGTATAATATGTAGAAGTGCACCTCATATTTTGGTTGCAATCGGCCGCACGAAACGTATATAAATATATTTATATAAATATCCACTCTGTTACTGTGATCTCAGTTCCTTTACTCGTATATGTTTGTAAATTGTACATTTTTTGCTTTAAGAATGTTTGAATTATGTTGTTTTTATCTCCCAGTTAAGGTTTTTATGCCTTTAGTTAATCTGTATGGAATATTTTTAGTATTATCAACAATTTTAAAGTTGTTTAAGTGCCGCTAAGCCTTTTTTGATGGCGGCCATTGATTGTTTACATTTGAAACAGCAGACTAGTGGATTTGTTGCCAATCTAGAGAAACGTAGCTTCGCAGCAACAAAGATAACCTCCTTCGTTTATTATTACCAATTAAATCATGCTTAATCTTTCTGGAATTTTTTCGAGGAAATAAGTGTTTAAGATTTACTTCGTAATTTTTAATATAGATATTTTGAGTTTTTATGTATTTTTGCCTTCTCGTGAAGTGAGAACTGAATGAATTGAATGAAAAATACTCAGTCGTCTGTGAAAAAACTGTTTCTTTTTTGTTTTGTTTGCTTAATTTCTTTTATACATCGTTCTAGCTTTATTATAGTATTTGAATAGAACATGTGGCAACGATTAGATAATTCTTTAAATGATATAAATTTTGTGCATTCTGAGTTATAATATGAACGAAATATAATACTGTTAAGTGAATCTAGTCTGTCGAACCAGAGTGTCGCTATGGTAAACAAATACTAGAGTGAATTTTAAAGAATGCCTTTATTCTTTTGTGGTTTATGCGCTGTCGGCGAAGTAGATTTAATTCAATCCAATAAGTTTAAATGAAATGCAAGAAAAATGCGTATAATTTAATATTTCGTGCAAGGAAGTCATGTGGTATACACATCAGATTTTTTATCTTACAGATTATAATATCATTTCTCTTTATTTTGCGCAAAGACGTTTAGAAAGCATAAGTAACAAAAGAACCAAAAGACCAAAGAACCAAAAGACAAATTAGAAGATTATTCTTACATCAAGAAGATTCTGCTACAAAGATTCAAATTAAATGCTGAATCATTTCGAATTAAACTTACTACACACCAAAAACACCCTGGGTCCTTATGGAAAGATTTTGCTTACGAATTAAACAATTATCTCGAAGAGTGGCTTCATAGTCTCGATGTTACAGACTTTGAATCACTCAAAGACTTGGTCCTGACGGATCAGCTTAAAAGAAGAGTCAGTAGTGACGTTAAGGAGCATTTTATTGATACTTGGGGAAAAATAAAGAGTTCATCTGAATTAGTACAGAAATTGGATGATTATGAAGCTGTACGTGTTAAAAATACGAACTATAAAACTGAACTTCCTGGCAGGCGGAACTATTCTTACAAACCGACTAATCCATCCAAACAGAAAGTAGAAAATCGAACAAGTGACGTACAGGGAACTCATAAAACCTTTTTAAATCGTGGGCAGCAACAAACAGAGAAAAAGCGACCTCCTTTAACATGCTATGGGTGCGGAAAAACTGGTTTTATCAAGTCTAAATGTTCAGACTGTAACCTCCCAAAGACTTCAAATTCATCAAATTTTGGCACTATCCAAATCCGATCTTGTTTATCTTCCACTCGGACTGCTGTATTTCCAATTAGTATTGGTGGTGTTTCCGGTACAGCTTTCGCCGACACTGGTGCTAGTCACTCAATTGCAAGTGAATCCCTCTATCATATTCTGCAGAAACAAGATGCAGTATTTGAAAAGACAACACTAGAGGTGTCTTTCGCTGATGGTTTGGTATCTGAAAAAGAGGTACTTCGCACCGAACAAATTATTCTTCTCGAAGGCAGAGAGTTCAAAACTCCGCTCCTTGTGTTGCCTGATGCCAAAAATAACTCGACTCTGTTAGGAATTGACTTTCTTCAAAAAGCTAAAATTGTTTTAAATCTTGCTGAAAATAGGTGGAACTTTTCTCGTGAACCTCGAAGAAAATATAGCTTCGTGAAACCTCATCAATCCCAAGTACTGGAAGAAGCCCCAGTTGTTGTAAACAACTGCCAACTACGAGAAAATGAAGGACAACAATTAACTACAGCCCAACGGCTTACAACTGATGCTTTGCTTAACAAATATCACACTGTCTTCAAAGTAGGGGGAGAAGCCACTCCATTCATTGAACACCATATTAACACAAGAAACAGCCCCCCTGTTTCAGTCCCTCCATATCGGATGAGCCCAAGTAAGAAAGAACTGTTGAAAAAGGAACTTGATTCCCTTCTAAAACTAGGTATCATAAAAGAATGTGAAAGCCCCTATGCCTCTCCTGTGGTTCTGATTCCCAAGGCAAATGGAAAAGTACGGTTATGCATTGATTATCGTAACCTAAATGCTCAAACCGTTCCAGATACTTATCCTTTGCCACGTATAGATGATTTGTTGAGTGAAGCAAAACTGACACCTTATATGTCAACTATTGATTTGAGATCCGGTTATCATCAGGTGAGAGTAGCTGAAGAAGATCAAAATAAGACTGCTTTTGTTTGCCCTTTTGGTACATATAAATTTACCCGAATGCCCTTCGGATTGAGAAACGTTCCAGCCACTTTTTCTAGATTGATAGATAGGTTCCGTTCTGGACTTAATAATGTGTTTGCTTTGACATATTTAGATGATATCATCGTGCTGTCATCTAGCTTTGAAAAGCACCTTTCTGACTTAGAACAAGTTTTCCAACGTCTATCGTTATTCAAGCTCAATGCTAATCATGAGAAGTGCCACTTCTGTTGTGAAAAAGTGAAATATTTAGGGCATTACATTACTAAGCATGGTATAGCTGTTGATCCACACAAGACTGCTGCCATTGCAGACATTCCATCGCCGAAAACTGTTAAGCAAGTGCAATCGTTCGTACAAACGTGTTCCTGGTATCGTCGATATATTCCAAATTTTTCTCAAATAGCCAAACCGTTAACGGATTTAACAAAGAAGAAAGCGCTGTGGAAGTGGGAAGCACAACAAGAAAATGCTTTCCAAAAGCTGAAATCCAAATTAATTAGCCAGCCGATTCTTAAGCAAGCTGATGGAACGAAGCCTTTTATCATTCGCACAGATGCTAGCAATGTAGCCATTGGAGCAGTGTTGCTACAAGGGGAGAAAAAGGAAGAACACCCTATAGAATATGCCAGCCGCTTGCTGACTGCATCAGAACGAAACTATTCCACCATAGAAAAAGAAGCCTTAGCAGTAGTATGGGCACTCAACAAATTTAGAGGATATGTTGAAAGCCAGTCTATCACAATCACCTCTGACTGACCACCAACCATTGAAATGGCTGATGTCTTTTAAAGTCACCAACTGGTAGGCTCGCAAGATGGGCCTTACAATCCAATCCTACAATCTGACTATCAATTACATTCCTGGACGATTGAACTTTATTGCTGATCTATTGTCTCGTCCTATTTGTGAACACTCAAGTACAGATTCTTGTTCAAGTATGTGCTGTCTCTGTCGAAATCCCTACTATTAGCCCTGCAGAATTAAGACAGTCACAGCTAGAAGATGATGAATCTTCGGAAGATCATCGAAACTTTTGAGAGTCCAGAGAAAGAAGCAGACTGTGCAACTTGGACTGGAAGAGGCTACGTTATGAACAGAGGAGTTTTGTACTGATACCGATATTCTCCTGATTCAGAAGAGGAAGAAGCTCAACTAGTTATACCTCAAAAAAGAAAAGCAGAAATCTTGAAAGAATATCATGATTCGCCAACGGCCGGTCACTATGGATCTGAAGGAACATTTTATCGAATAGCAAAAATACTACTATACTACTGGGTTGGAATGAGAAAGGATATAGCAGAATATGTCAAAAGCTGTCTCGAAGGCTGTCGTTATAAAGCCACTAATCAAAAGCCATCTGGCTTACTTCAAACTCCAGTCTATGCTCAACGTTTTGAGACCTTGTCAATTGATCTTTTCGGTCCCCTTCCTGAAAACCGTCTGGTGAAAAATGGATTTTTATTGTGCAGGACTGTGCAACGAAGTGGACAGAACTATTTGCTTTAAAGGAAGCCACGGCCAGAGAATGTGCCACTATTCTTTTGGAGGAAGAAGTCGCCCTTCGATTTGGGTTACCCAGGAAAATAATAAGTGATAACGGTACCCAGTTTACTAGTGCTGTTATGCAACAACTATGCTATATCTTGAACATTGATCAAAGTCTTACTCCTGTCTATCACCCACAATCTAACCCAGTTGAAAGGAAGAATAGAGATCTGGAACCACGTTTAGCAATACTTGTTGGTAACGACCATCAGTCATGGAAGGATAAACTGCCATTAATAAGGTTTGC